TTATTAATAAATTTAATATATTTTTTAATTTATATAAATTATTAATAAAAAATTATATTATATTAATTAACTTTTTTATAATAAATTAATTTTAATTTAATAATATTTTTTTTTTAATTCTTAACTTTTATAAGTTTAATTTTAATAAAATAATTAAAACTTTTAATATTTTTAAAATATTTAATAAAAATATAAAAATAATAATTAATAATAAAAAGATTTTAATTTATATTTTTATTTTTTATTTTATTAATAATATATTATAATAAACCAAAAATAATAAATTTAAAAATTTTTATATTAAAAAATTTTATTATTATTATTATGTTATATTTATAAAAAAAATATTTTAATTATATTTAAATTTTAATATTGTTAATTATAACTAATATTACCATTAAATTATATAAATATAATATATAATAAATATATATATTAATAATATTAAAAAAAAAGTATATAATATATAATAAAATATATTAAACCTTTTACTATTATTATAATTTATAATTTTAATTTTAAATTTAATCTTTTTACAATTATATAATTTTATATATTTAAAATATAATAAATTATTTTATTTAATATATACTTTTTTATATAATAATATTTTAACATTTTTGGCAATAATAACTTATATTTTTGTATTACGAAATTAACTATTTTTTTTTAATATGTATCGGTTATAATTGCCGAAATATTACCTATAAAATTATAATATATCCATTTATACTATATAATTTATTATTATTTCCATATTTTTTCGTAATTAATTTAAGTTTACGCATATTAAACCTATATTTATAAAAAAGGTAAATATATATAATAATAATAATCCGGTTTACCTTGTTATAAAAACATACATAATTATTATAAAAAACAATACTATTTTTATAAAGTTTAAAATTTTAATAATTAACTGTAATAATATAAAAATTTTAATTAAAAAAGCAAAAATCTTTTTTAATTAATTAAATATTTATACCATTAATTTATTAAAATCTTATATTAATTTAATTATATTAATCCAAAATATTATATTAAATAAAACGTTTATTAAATATATTAATAAAAATATAATTAAATAATTTATTTAATATTTAAATAATATATTATAACCAAATATTTATATTATTATATATTATATAAACTTTGTAAAAAAATATAATTTAATTATTAATATTAATATATTAATTAAAAAAAATTTATATTAATATATTAATATATTTATTTAATTTAATAAACTTAATATATATATAATTTTACTTAAATATTTTAAAATTAATATATACTAAATTAATTATTTTAATATTAAATATATAATATTAATAAAATTTAACATTTAATTTATTATTTAATTTATTATTTAAAACATATTTAATAAATAAAATTTAAACTTTATAACTAAATTATAAAAATTATACTAAAAATATTTAAATTTATTAAAATATATTTTATTCCATTTTAATTAAAACAATTTAATTAATATTATAAATAAAAAAAATATAAAATTAAAAATATTTACATTTATTAATAATATATATACCAATTTAATTATTATTAACTTTATTTTATTAAAAAATATTTAACGCATTAAATATCCCATTTTCGGTAAAAATCTTTTATTTATTAAATATAATAATTTACTTTTTATATTTAAATTTAATTTTTAATTAACATACCATTAAAACTATAATTATAATAATAATTATTTTTATATATAAAATTATAACGTTTAAATATAATAAACATATAAATTTACTTTTAACCAATAATAAATAATATTTATATATTTATAAATAAAATTAATTTTTTTATTAAATATAATAATATTAAAAAACGATTTATTTTTAATAAAAATAATTATATTTAATATTATAATTTAAATAACTTTATTTATATTAATTATATTTTTTTATTTAATATTTATATTAAATAATATATTTTTACAATTATTATACTTTTACGTTATATTAACATTTATAATAAACTTATTAATTTAAATATTTTATAAAAATTAATTAATAAATTATTTATTATTAAAATTACAACTATTAAACCAATTAAATTATATTTAATCTTAATTAATAGCTTAAATATAATTTATATAAAATAAAAAATTTATTAATTATAATATTAATAAAAATAAATTAAAGATTTATAATATTTTAATAATAATTTATATAATTAAAATAATTTTTTTAATAAATTTAATTTTTATTATAATAATAGTTTTTAATAAAAAATAATTTTTTAAAAAAAAACAATTTTTAAAAAAAAAAATGATAATTACTTAAGCAACAATTATTTAAGAAATAACATTACCTCTTTAATAAATAATGTATATGGGAGGTACGGTATTCCGTTAAAAAACCATTTCTCAAAACCACCCTTTACCGCTATGGTAAGTAAGTGAGAACAATTCATGTGGGGCTTGCCTCGACAGAGCCCTCTAGCTTAGGTACCTCGGATTACATAATGCACAATTTTTTATGGAAGTTCACAAATACACGGACCGATATTTCGCCGAACATGGGCTATGAGGTCCACTCTCATTGGCAGAATCTTTTTCATCTTCGACCTAAACTTCGTCGAAATTCTAGAGCTTTCCGCTGCATCTTCTTCTAACCTTGAACCTTACAACAATCTTCTTGTTGTCGGCCGGGTGCCCTCCATGCCGATATTTTCTTCTATTCAATTCGTCAGATATGCTTGCAGATTGATTCTGTAGTCAACAATATCCCGTCCATCTGTCATCAGTAAGCCTCGCCTTTTTATTTATTTCTACGTCCTTCACAATTTCCCCCGTTTGTGAAATCTCTGATGATACACCAGCTGGCACCAGTCATAGAGCGACTTGTACTCCCTTTCTTTGATGACCAATAGCTGTAGTCCTTGAGACTCATATCTGATAAACTCACTTACTTGCAACTTACTTGCAACTTACGATTGTTCGCACTGAATTGACGATTGCTAACGCAGCCTCGTCTCTCTAGCTTTTTCAACCAAACCCAAGCTTCGTGCGAATTATCCTTCTCCAAAATTCACCATGGTTCTCCACAACCCAAACAACTGGCATTGGGTCAGTAAGAATGCCGGTGAATGGACTAGGCAATGGTTCGAAGAGAATCTATCCAAGATCTCGGCCGAAGATGGAGAGGTCACCGCCAAGATTAATAAGGTTGTCAGCATGGACGGGGATGTTGACGTGAGCCAACGAAAAGGCAAAGTCATTACCATCTACGACGTGAAGCTCGTCTTGGAGTACTCTGGTAAGCTAAATGCTGCGAGTATTGGTGAGTGGGAAGTCATCTAACTTGGACTAGGAGCCGCCCCCGGAGAAGAGAGCGTCTCGGGCACTATCACCGTGCCCGAAGTTGCCCATGATACCGAGGAAGATGATTTTACTGTAGGTATCCTATAGTTAGCGTAGCAGTCATGATTAGTACTAACGTCGAAAAAAAGTTCGACATAGATATCTACTCGGAATCGCAGGAAAAGCAACCGGTGAAGGATCTAGTTCGATCCAAGATCACGCCACAGCTACGGAAGGAATTCGCGAAGCTTACACCGGCTTTGATTGCTGAACATGGTAAGGATATCCAACACGCTGCTGGCACAAATCCCTCGAGTGGATTTACCGCACCCAAATACCATGTGCCTTCTGGTGCTACACCAAAGGCCGACGCTAGTGCCGGCACCCAGAAGAACAGTGGTAGCGTCGTCAACACGACAACGGTAACTGATCAGGAGGAATTCCGAACTACTGCTGCCGAGTTGTACCAGACGTTCACCGATCCGCAACGTCTAGCTGCCTTCACCCGTGCACCTCCAAAGAGATTTGATGGGGCCCAAAAAGGTGGCAAGTTTGAGCTGTTCGACGGCAATGTCTCCGGCGAATACGAAGAACTTGAGGAGCCGACCAAGATCGCCCAGACGTGGCGGCTGAACCAATGGCCAGCTGGCCATTACTCTAAACAGGTGATTGAGTTCGACCAGAACGATGTAGACGGCGTGACCGTGATGAGGGTCACCTGGAGTGGCGTGCCAGTAGGTCAGGAAGAGGTGACCAAGCGCAACTGGCAAGAGTACTACGTGAGGAGCATCAAGACGACTTTCGGGTAAGTTCGCATCCTTGGTACCACTTGTATCTTGGCTCTTGAATATAAGCTAACACCGAAAAGATTTGGAACGATCCTATAGTCGAAAACATTCCGGTTGGCCAACGGCGTTCTCTAGTTCAATGGCGTAATTGGTAAACGATACAGTCAACCCTCGCGGGTGATTGTCTGGCCATTTCAACAAATGTGTAAATTCGTAAAGTAGAGGCCTAGGCGTCATGCAGTCTCCCACTAGAACCTTGCATCTAGGTAGTTAAAAGTGCATAAAGAAATAACGATGTTAAATGATAATAAATATTAAAAATTGCCCTGACCACCTTACGAAACTTGTTGAGTATTTTAAGCTTCAATGAATAACCGTTGGTATGGACTCTATTATTGATGTTTTATTCTACGCTCGGTCTCCAACTTCCAACCTCGAACCTCAAATCCCCAACCTCCACATGAGCGCGGAACCATCCGAGCCAATTAGCGAGCTAGAAGCCTACGTCACTCTAATTTCAGGCGAACATACCGCTATCCCCAACCTTCCAACGCTTCCAGGACAGTCTCCATTAGTCTATCAACTCATTCAAGCAGTTGACGCCGCGGCGGAGTTATCTTTTAGAACAATACCTATCTTCCTTATTTCCTACCGAAATCAATATTATGAGATTATCTAAGTCCTGAATTCCTTACTTTACCTAATAGCATATATCTCGCGGGGTCTGATTTGTGAGGCGATCACATCTCATTCACTAGTTTACAATCGAGGTCATGAGATAAAAGTTCCGTCAGGGTTAAACTTAGCAGTGCTTTGATTGAAATTTATAATCTCAACTACTCCTTCGCTATGCCTTCTAATACTTCTAAGGCCTCTTCCGATGAGGTCGACTTGGTAATCCGCCAGGATACCAGCATCCATATGGACTTACATGTCACGAGCTCCAGTTTCAGTCTTAGCCAAGAACTATCACCTATTGCCTCATCGGCTTCCAGTCAAGTTAAAATAAACGAGACCGAGGTCCAACCAGAACAAACCCCCGATTGGGATAATCTTAAAGTCATTCATCGAAATACTCTCCCGCCTCGGAGTCATTTTCATCTTTACAACACTGAAGAGGATGCTCTTTCTGGCGATGTGAGCCGATCTAGGGCTGCTCTACTCTCCGGTACTTGGGGATTCGAATTATCTCCCGGCCCCTTCAAGGGTTCCCGAGACTTCTATAAACCCGACTTCGACCACACAGAATGGAAGCTCATCAAGGTCCCTGGCATGTGGCAGCTTCAGGGATTTGGCAAGGGTCCACAGTACACAAATGTCAACTTCCCCTTTCCAGTAAATCCTCCGCACGTCCCATACGATGACAACGAATGCGGGCGGTATGTCACGCTCTTCGAGGTGCCGGATAGGCTTAAGGATGGGGATCAATGGCGGTTACGATTTGAGGGTGTCGATTCGGCGTTTACCGTCTGGTTGAACGGAAAAGAAGTTGGCTACTCGCAAGGCTCGAGAAATCCGAGCGAATTCGACGTGTCACCGTTCCTTGAACCCGATTCGGAAAACACTCTTTGCGTCGAGGTTTACCAGCGATGCGACGGAAGCTATATCGAGGATCAGGTATGTTTAATATATATAGGACACATAGTCTCCATCAGTTCTGACTTTACTCCAAGGACCAATGGTGGCTCAGCGGCATCTTCAGAGACGTCTGGTTACATTCCTTTCCTTCTGTTCGTCTTGAAGACTTCCATATTCAGACACTCCTCGACGACGATTACAGGGATGGGTTGCTCACGATAGACACTAAGCTGAATAAAGCCAACGAGACCGTCACATTCAAGCTTCTCGATCGCGAAGGTAAAACAGTAACCCCCGATTCTCACACAAGACAGGCGCAACAGTGCAAGCACGAGTATCTGATCAAAAATCCCGAGAAATGGACGGCAGAAACACCTTACCTATACACATTAGTACTATCCGTTGGTTCTACATACATTTCTCAAAAAGTCGGATTTCGCAGGACTGAGCTTATCGATGGCGTCTTTTGCGTTAATGGCAAGCCGATCAAGATCCGCGGGGTAAATCGTCATGAGCATAACGCGCAATCCGGGAGGACGGTCCCGTACGCAGATCTTAGATATGATCTCCAGTTGATGAAAGCATTCAATATCAATGCTATCCGCACGTCCCATTATCCGAATGACCCTAGACTGTACGATCTTGCGGACGAGATGGGGTTTTGGGTATTGGATGAAGCTGATCTCGAATGTCACGGCTTTGGCGAAGTTGGTGGTGATCCAGCGAATTTCACGTCTAACAATCCCGAGTGGAAAGATGCCTATGTAGATCGCGCGGTACAGTTGGTGACGCGTGATAAGAACCATCCAAGTATTATCATGTGGTCTCTTGGGAACGAAGCTTTCTACGGCAGTAATCACCAGGCAATGTATAACGCTCTCAAGAAGATTGACAAAACGCGTCTTATCCACTACGAAGGCGACCAAGAAGCCCAGACAGCGGACATCTTTAGCCGGATGTACACATCTGTTGATGAGATGATTAAACACGCAGAGGAGAAGGTTTGGAAGAAGCCTTTCGTTATGTGCGAATTCGCCCATGCTAGTAAGTAACATTAAATTTTTTTCCTTTCCCTATTATTGACGTGTGTTATAGTGGGCAATGGCCCAGGTGCCGTACAAGAGTATATCGAGGCATTCTACAAATACCCTCGACTAATGGGCGGCTTCGTGTGGGAGTGGGCAAACCACGTAGGTCCATATCGACTTGATTTAATTCTTACTATGTTAGAACTAACAACCTATCACATAGGGTCTTCTCACTAAGACTGAAGACGGCGAGACGTTCTTTGGCTACGGCGGTGATTTCCAACCCGACGAGCCCCACGACGGCAACTTCGTTATGGACGGACTTTGCGATTCGCTACACAACCCCGGCCCAGGCCTCACCGAATACAGCAAAGCTATCGAGCCGGTCCAAGTACTCGCCGTAAAAGGCAGCGAAGTGACGATTGTAAATCGTTATGACTTTCTAACTCTAGACCATCTCAAGTGTTATTGGAGCCTCGTTTCCGACCGGCAACAGATGATTGGAAACGAAATCCTCATCCCAGCGGGAGTTAAGCCGCATACCGAAGCAACGTTGGTCCTCGGCGGCTTGCCGAAGACTCTTTCTACAGACACATGGCTCCAGCTAGACTTCATGGCGCGCACCGAGAGTAAATGGGTGACACCCGGACGAGTCGTAGCCCGAGGCGAACTTCCCCTAACACCACCGCCATCCCTCACTCTCCTTAAAACCCTCTCCGCACCAGATCGCCCACACTTCAAGCGCAAAGACGGCATGCTCTACGTGACAATTCGCTCCGGTAGCACATTCGGCTTCGACACCGGCAACGGCACATTATCCTCGCTAACACACACTTCAAAACCCGACCATAACATCATCACCGTTCCTCTAACCCTTGATTTCTACCGTGCGTTAACAGACAACGATCGCGGCGGGCCCCACGGCAAAGATTGGATAGACCGCAGAGTCCACCAGACGCGCCACCACTTCTCGCAAATAACCACCACCGAAACAGAATCCGGCTGCGTCGTCGTCGTAAAAGGACGCGTAGCTCCTCCGGTCCTAGCCTGGGCCGTCGACACAACGATCACCTACACACTAACATCCGAACACTGCAGCATCCGCGTGCAAGCCAAGCCCAGCGGCGCCCTCCTCCCTACCACATTCGCGCGTTTCGGCTTATCCTTCGGACTGCGCGACATCCGCGTAGTAGAATGGTTTGGCCGGGGCCCAGGTGAATCATACATCGACAAGAAGCGCGCACAGCAGATCAACACGTGGGGTTGGGCTGCCGACGCGCTGTTCAATTACTACGAGTTCCCGCAGGACAGTGGTAACCGCACGGATATTCGGTGGGTGGAATTGCGGACGCGGTGGGGCGGCGAGGACGAATACCCGAATCGCTTGTTAAGGGCAAGGTTTGGGGAACATCAAGGTGCGAGTTTTAGTGTGACGCCGTATAGTACACGCGATGTGGATGAGTGTAAGCATCCGTACGAGTTACGCAAGAGGAAGAGGGATGATCATATTGTCAGGTTGGACTGGTATCACCACGGTCTGGGTACAGGGAGTTGTGGACCCGCGACCCTGCCGGAGTACCAGCTGAGGACAGATCAGGAGTTCGATGTTGAGGTTTTACTAGATTGAGTGGTGGTGGTCTTGTAATATAATAGGCTCGGACTGATATGCATTCATCTGCTCGCTGTATACCTAAGCTGGAACGACCAAGTTGTCGATATATAACAGGTAAAAAACTAAAACAGCGCCCGTGTTTCCATGACTCCCGTTCCAAATCATTTCTTCATACCACTACAGTATCGTACCAAGTCGTCCCAAGCTATGAATCCATAAAGAGGACATGTAATAACCTACTCCAGGCAAAATCTCGCAATAGTATCTGCATCCAGAAGCTCGAGAAATAAATCTATACAGTTCCAAGCTAGTGTAGTTATTAGCTTTTCCTTCCCCAAACATGTCGTTGTCCAGAATAACAAGCATAATGCTGGGATGATAACGCCTCTCAGATTCGAGTTAGGCGTACTGCCAACACCCGTAATCGGCCGCAACGCCGTGCAAGTTGAGACCAACGGCATCAACGCAGCCAGACAGATTGAAGCCGGCTGTCCCAGCGTATAAGCGGTAGCTAGCACCTGTGCCGGCCATATATTCCTCGATTTGGGGACATAGCTTAATACCGCCGGTGCTAGACCCGTCGACGGGCAGGAAGTCGAGCACATCGCGAGCGGGATCGCAGTCCGACAAGACTGTCTTGTTGAACCAACCCCCTGTCAGAGAACCTGCTGGCTCGTATGCCGAGTGGGCCTGTGTGTATTCTATCTGGCCCGAGGGCGCGACGTAGATGGCTTGGCCGCCGGGGACTTCGACCTATAAACGGACATTATGTGAGTAAAGAGGAGGTGCAGCGGCAGTAGTTAGGTAGGCAGAGATATTCGATCAAGAAGATACTCACAGCCATCCCAGTTAGGCCATCATATACAAGAGATCCTTGTACATCAGGACACGAAATGCCCTTAGGGCAGTAGGTTTCGGGTCCTGAGATACCGGTGTAGAAGCCCTGAGCAGCAGCATTTAGCAGTGCGCCGTCGACCTCGGTGTCCGGGGCAAAGACGGTGAGGAAGTATGTTGTTGCTGAGGCGAGAGTAGAGTAGGCGAGGAAGAGAGACAGTAAATACATCGTGTTGTCTTCTCTAGAACTATTCTTGGGGCTGGATTGAGGGTCACAAAAAGGGGTTGGTTAGTAGTGAGAGACGACAGCTGAATTGGTGATTAACGAGAGTGGGTGGATCACAATGGCTTTCATAAGCCTCCAATTATCTCCAATAGCACCAATTAAGTAGTATGAGGCTTTGGTTACAGTTAGGAGAATTGAGGCTACAGAATAAATAAAATGAGTTGAGAATCTTGAGACGACAGAAGGCGTACAACGGTTAGACATTGTGAGAGAGGAACGTCCCGCCTACGTACTACATATTAGACACATTTGCTCTTACCCTTCGTCTTATTTTTTTCCCTTTATCTAAGGGTGATACTTTCATTTTCTTGGTGTTTGCACCTTCTCTCCCCTTACGATAGCAAACTGCGACCTGTGATACTCATAACTACACAAAATGAGGCTATTCCCACCAAAACATCTTGGCTTAAATTAGGTAAGTACGTCAGGCACCACTACTACACACCCCCTATTAATCCAAGATAGGAGGCCTACTTGTCGATTAGTTATAATTGATATGATAGGTACCAGATCATATTAACGGTATATCCGTTGAAGCCGTAAAGGAGGGTGAATGTAACGACGATAAGAACAAACACCAGCTGACCTCGACCTCGGTCAGCGAGCTTGTTATGTTCTAAGCGCGAATGTTCGGTCAGCCGAATGGTTTGTCGAGTGTATTTTAGTTATGTTGTTTTGAGGGTATTCTTCACATTCTCAAAAGTTCAATGCATTGCAAGTTGATAGGTATGCGTATGTGAATTGAATAATACATCGCGATGACGCGCTGGTCGCTCTGGTCGCTCTAAATGCTGAAAAAGTGATTACATAAGGCAACAAGCTAGTACGGAAGTACCCACCGACAGCCCCTGTCCACTGCCCTGTCCACTGCCCTGTCTGTCTCCATAAAGTTAGTGGAGCTATGGTGCATTTTACGTACCACTTCCAAGTTCTATACGCTTTTTCTTGTTCTTCAACACGTTGACACGTAACGACGCGCCGTGATCACATTTCTTGAATTATATCATTACATTCAGTCTGCATTACGTTGATTAACCCCCTTTTCAAGTATCCCCCCCATCACGAGACAGTCATTTCATGCGAACCATATGTAGTTTTAATTCTTCACTCACCTCTTCAGGTCATCCTCATAGCCTCAAAGTCACACCCATCGTCATGAAACGAGATAGTTCGTAATTCCTGTCGCACGACTAATAGACGGATGTAGCCGGTGTAGCAGGAACCCTCGGGGCAAAATGCCATTTCATCCATCAACACTATTCGTAGGTATTTCCTTGTTTGTCTCTGTTCCAGAAATAAACGTGCATGACGAAAACTCCCCACGCCTGCCCCAGGCTTCTGACCATATTCGGACAGGTTCGAGGCGAGGACTAGCTTTGATTGGCTACGGTAGTAACAAGGCGGCGTCTTATTCAAGCTCAGCGTTAATGCTTAATACCAGCGGGGGTTCATACCCCCCTTTCAGTAGTATACCGCAACGGGCCATGATACCGGCAGTAGACTGTAGTAGTAGTAGTCTGCACTATTCTTGATTTAAACCAACTGTCTCGGGAATAGGATATACTTGTCTTACATACATACAGCTATATCAGTAAGCCAGGTCATACCCTGGTATCCTATGTACAAGTGCTGTTGCATCTGTTATGCTTTCGCCGATATCCTTATCTCATGATGTAGCTGCCCTTATGCTGCACATGTGCTCATGCCTGTCTCGTATCTACCGTAGCTAGAGTATAACAAACATATCGAGGCAAGGTCTTTCGTGTAGCCTGCCTGCCGTCTTATGATCAACATGTCTATACTCTTCGTACCTACTTAAAGTCGCCGTGGCGCTAGAGTTCCAAGGAAGCCTAGCCCCATTCCTAGAATATATCCATGATATAAAGCCTTGATGTTATTCCTAGTGACATAGCTTTCAGTATCATTATCCAACTAACCTCGTATTACTACTCCAAGTTTCTACTCTAGAACCTCAAGCCTATATATTTATTCGTCTAAGTCCTCGTCTTCGTCTTCCAAATCATCTACTCTATCTTCTCTTTCTTCCTACATGCCCCTATTCCGTCTCTACCCAAGAATCACACGTATTCACCAACCATCATTTTCTCATATTTCCAAGATGGCCACCCGCAACCACCACCATGTCTGCTACGTAGTTCCGCCCTACATGCTTAGCGCTATTGCCGACAGCAGTAACAACGAGGACCACATCCGCGAGTCTGCCCGCCATGCACTCACCATTCACAAGAGTTACTGTGACAAACGAGAAAAGCGATTCGCTGCACTCTGCGCACCTCGCGGCAGCAGGGCCGCTAATATTCATCAGAGACAGGGCATAGTGCCTGACCACATGCTTCAGCACATCGCCGACAATGAAGATGTTGACGATGACACCCGTGCTTGCGCTAAACGGGATTTGGAGCATATTAGAGGTATTCACGCCAAGTACCAAGAATCCCAGGGCCTTCGTGCCGAGTCGTCCGACCAGAAGGACGGTATAACCACTGAGCAAGCCTCGAAAACTACCGAGAAAACTTATCGTGCCGTGTACGATGCCAACCACGACTCCAACGAAGCCCATCTCCCCGGCAAAGTGGTTCGAGTAGAAGGCCAAAAAGCTTCGAAGGACGAGCCTGCCAACGAGGCCTACGACAATGCCGGCCTTGTGCTCTCCTTCTACGCCGATATATTCAACTGGAAGTCGATCGACAACAAGAACATGCACGTCATAAGCTCGGTGCACTTCGGACAGAACTACGAAAACGCCTTTTGGGATCCGGAGATTGCCCAGATGGTGTATGGCGACGGACACGATTTCCTTACCAACTTCACCGGCTGCATAGATGTCATTGGCCACGAGCTCACTGTAAGATATATAATCCCTATGCGAATTCTAAGTGATGTCGTTAACTCTTGTTCTAGCACGCTGTCACCGAACATACTTCACCTCTTGACTACATGGGCCAGAGCGGTGCCCTGAACGAACACGTCTCGGACGTCTTCGGCATCATGATCAAGCAGAGAGTCGAGGATGAGACCGCCGACAAGGCCGACTGGCTGATCGGCGAATACTGTCTGGTGCCTGGTGTCAAGGGTGTTGCTCTGCGAAGCATGAAGGCTCCTGGAACAGCTTACAACGACCCTCGTTTTGTAAGAACTCCTTCATGTCAGCAATTTAAGGAGGCTTGATACTAACATTACTGCTACTAGGGCAAAGATCCTCAGCCAGCCCATTTCAAGGATTACAAACTAACACTCGAAGACAACGGGGGCGTGCATCTCTACTCGGGTATCCCGAACAAGGCGTTCTACAACGCTTCCGTTGCATTTGGCGGCTACTCGTAAGTACCTAATTTACTCAGCCAATCTATTGTAACTAACAAATCGCACAGGTGGGAGAAAGCCGGCAAAATCTGGTGGGAAACAATGCAGAGCGGTCAGGTCCCCTCCCGCTGCACCTTTATTCAGTTTGCAGACGTGACGGTGGACAAGGCCGGAGAGCTCTTTGGAGACGATGCCGCGGCTATCGTCCGCAAGGCCTGGAACGACGTGGGCGTCGCTAGAAAGTCCTAGGGAGGAGGCTGCGACCCTAGCTAAGTGGAATAATTCGTTGCGTACGTGGAATACGGATTTCGGAGTAGATGGGATGGTTGGGATTATCCTAGGCGGCGAAACAAACACTCCTTGAATTTGGAATAAGAGGTCTACCTAGATTATTACATCAGTTTTTCGAGTAGCGAACATTATTAAATTGAATTTAATTATGTATTTTTATTCCGATTGTGTAGTCCACGTACATTAGTAGGTTGGTATATATTGATAATCCTAAATATACGATACCAACCTAGCAGTTTACCGTCATCAACATATCATAGAATAATAGCAACCCGTATAATTCAACCGAGACACATCTGTATGCCTACTACCTGGGACTCAAAGCGGAAACCTACTGGCTTTGTATTCCGCTCTGAGCTCCTTGGTCGACTTCCCAACAAATCGAACGTCTGAGTCTACATTCTTTTTGAAGAATTTATCTAGACCCTCCTTAATACCCTCCTTAATCCTCTCTCTTTCATTCTCATCATACCACCCTATCATCTCGATGACCGCGGGTGGCACGCAAAAACGGAGCCGCTTTATCACTTCATTAACTAATCGACAACACCCCAACGGACAGTAGCACTCCTCGAAACTCAGTTCCAATCGGTCGGGCACTAGCATGCGAATTTCATCGAAGACAGTGTCCCAGGATTCCAGCAGATCCATTCTCATCGTATCGTGGAAGTTTATCAGATAGTTACTCGGCTGTAATGGCTCCGACTCTTGATTATCATTTCCACTTGACTCGGATAATTCCTTATGTTCCTTACGTTCTTGATATATCTCAACCTGGTCCGAGGCATTTATGTTTCGCATGTCGAAGGTGAAGCTAACGTAACTGAGAAGCGCAAAGGGCGGGGTGTACATCCCCTCCTGCCAGGAATCCGTCTCGTGGGAAGAAGACGAAGTTATTGGCAAATAAAAGGGACCGTAGGGGAAGACGAAGCGGTTGCAGCCATAGTATATGGTCGTCGCTTCTTCATGAACGTTTCTGCTTACACCATTTATCAACCCAATGGGACGTATCACAGATCTGTTCCTGAAGCGCCAGTTTGGGAGGCCCCGATACCGTAAGTAGTCCCCATAGAAACCACGGGTCTCGAAATCATAGACAGCGTGTTCAGTGTTGGGAATACCTGATATTCCTATTTCTAGGTAGTTCGGTAAGAAAACCGAGCCCTTATCGAGAAGATACTTGTAGATCATATCGCGCAGCTCAAGAGATAAGCTCATGAAGCCGTGAAACTCGGTGCCAATACGCTTCTTCTCCTTGTAGCGAAGCAATAGCTGATCGGCATCCATCTCGACTCCCATCAATACTTCTCTCCGCTTATAGTACTCTTCGAGACGAGTTTCCCAAGTCTTAGTTCGTTCAGTGGTAAAATACACCAGGGCAGCCGGGTCGTTGTGGTATAATGAACCCTCCCATTCTTCTGCTTGCTTAAGTGAGACACCCATTTCGTACTAGAGACGCGAATAAGAATATCTGCACCGTTATGCGTACAAGTCGGTTAAATCGATGGCACATACATGCTATTATTAGAAATTAGGAAAGCTCAAAGCTATAATTCGCGGCAAACATGTATGTGTATCTGGAGGGGGAAGTGTTGTAAACGGATGGTGGAAAAAGCAAGGTTGCGTATGAGGAATAGAGATATCCAGGTACATTCGCAAACGGTTTCCCCGGTCCCGCATTAGATTAAGATTCCCCGGGTGTCAACCTATGGCTATGCGGGTTTCCGCCTATCGCCCGCCGTCTTAGGATAAATAACGCACGAACACATCATCGCGGATCCCAACTACACTTGGGCAAAATTCGTTTATGAGCTAGAAGCTTTACATATGTTATACTCGCACATCGATTATATCTTAGCAAAGTTGCCGGTGCAAGTTTCTATTGTAAGAATCAGCAATCAGCCCATAGGCGAATAATTCCATCCGTCACTATAGCAACTATTCCTCCCCCTTAGCATCTAATCCACAAAGTTGACACAGCCCCGGAGGCTGTCCACAAGCTCAGAGTCGAATTCCGACAACCAAGCAGGTTCCCCTGTACTATCTTGTTTGCCCTCCGCATTCTCGCATTCTTGAAAAGAGTCCGAGTCAAAGAAAAGGGGTGAGCGATCGCCCACCTCCTGAATTAAGGAAGTATTAATGACCTCGCCTTGGTCTAATTCAGGTGAGCTCGATTTGAGGCTTAAGGTCTCCTGAGCTGTCGGGTTCAATTGTAGGTGTGTATCATAGCTAGAAGAATTAACCGAAGGCAAATCGAAGCGTTCAGACGCTTTCTGCAACTCATCAACTGTAGTAAAGCTAAGATTCGATTCCTAACCATGATCTATGCTTTCTTTCAGGACTTGAACATTGCCAGGATATAGGGTTTCATCTCTCTTCAATGTTGTTTGAGATTTTCCGTCATTCTTCGACAACTTAGATGTGATAATCCTTTGAAGATCAGGAAATTCATCGTCAAACATGTCGCTATCATACTGCATATAATCTTCGCTTCCACCCCAGGCCGCATTCGCTTTATCAGAAGACTCCATCATCTTATCCAAGGGTTCTTGGGATGGAACAAGCGTGGAGCGGGTTTTCGAAGTGTTCATGGTTGAGAGTGAATTGGTAGCTTTTTGACCCATCCCGTGGGGGAGCGATAAATTCGGAGGGGAGCAATTAGTCTCATAATTGCTCCGAATTGTAGAGAGGTCGATGCACTCAATATCCGATACATCCATGTTTACGCTATGATCCATAGCCTTGCTTTTTTTCTTAGCGAGTCTCATCCCTTTACCATCTTTTGCTGAGCGCTTTCTCTTCGTGTTAGGTAGAGTAGTTTTCGGGAAGCTTGTGTCAGCCGTTTGCTTAGCACCTACGTCATAGGATTCAGAAAGAGTAGCAGGCATAGGTCCTACTAATCGTTTCCCGTTGGTTCTGCCGGTATTGTCGTTCTTGTTGGCTTGGAGGACTTCTGAATGCTTTTCTGGGACTTTGGCAGGGTCGCCTTTAACTGTATCATCTCCCGCAGCACCTTTGTCCTTCTTCTTATCTCGTGGTGGCGGTCGAGGTTTATCCACCCCCTCGTGGCAGCATCTGTGATTACAAGGCTTTCCCGCGCCGGTGGGACGGCCGTTACGACAAGGGTGGTTACACATCCATCTTCCGTTTTCCATCTTAGCAGGTTCGGAGACCAGATGGCTCTTCTCTTGGGTTAGCACATTGTCAATAAGTGGGAAATCTTCAGTATCATCCAGCGGACCCGAGAAATCTTGTGACTCTGCCTCGCCATTCTGGTCCATTGAGGTCAAAGCAGCATTCAACATGTCTTCATCGGGAAGGTCTCCATAGTCCATATCATCTTCTGAAGATTCTATGGTAGCTGTCTGACGCTGTACCGGTTGGGCCTTTCTATTTCTGAATGCTGATTCGGGTATATTAGGCTCTAGTGTTTTGGTGACTTGGGTTCCAACAATCTCTTCGCAGCTGAAGTAACAAGATATCTTTTGATCTGAACCGCCAATCGCCACAGGGAATCTCAGATCCAGGCCGGTAGCCCTGTTGATTTTATTCAGGCTCCCTCGCCAAAGGTACGCAAGATTACCATCTGTTGTCGAAGCCATGAATGTCACCGCTGGTATTTTATCGTTCCACTTCGGTACACCCTTCGTATTGCAATAGCGGAGGTTAACTTTCACTGTTACTGTCACATTGTGTTCCAGTTGCGACGAGTGTGCAGTGCCAGTGATGAGGTTAGCTCCCATGGCCAGGCGGGGAAAGTTTTCCAGAGTCTTCAACAGCCTCACCCCGTACGGAGGGTTCCTGCTTGAAATACGCTCGATCTCGCCGAAGTCCCTGTCGGCGAGTCCTAGTACTGTATGGACTCCATGACTGACCCATTTCCGAACCATTACAGGACCAGACCCTGGGATTTGAGAAAGCTGTGATGGTTTATTCTCCCACGAATTTGCAGCGAGGGCACGGGCGAGTTCAAGACCGATCTTTGTACCCAACCCATCACCATCAAATGCGCGACAATCTACAAAGCAACGTACTAGGCGATTCATTCGATCGAATATAGCAACTTTGTCCATTGCAATTCTCTGCTTGAGAAGGCCAATCCCCTTTTCGTTTGGCAGCTCCACACCCCTAAGGTGGACCTGGATCATGACGAATATTTTATGCCAGGTCTGCGTCAAAGTCTCCTTGATTGGATGGAGGATGAAAGGGGATTTATTCAGGTCTCTGAATACAGCGCGCTCGTCAGGCTTAAATCGGAAGTCTTTGAACTCCATAGCCTTGCAGAGCGTAGCGAGCTATAAAAGTTAGTCAGCGGTCCGCCTCTAGGTGTTGAAGATTGATGATTTAAAACCTACTGTCTCTTGAAGTGCCGCACCCCGAGGAATTGATAGGAGCTCCTTCATAGTCTCGAAGTTGACCATGTACCTTGACATAGCGTGTCCATATTCTGTACACCGAAATGGCGCTTGCCCAGTAACTAGCCCGTTTTGCTGTAGTAGCTTGAGATCGCGCTCGCACCATTCTTCCATTCTCTTGTCGGCGTCTTCGGCATTGCGGACATCTTCAAGGTGATAGAGCGATGGAGATTGACGTACTCGTACACTGAGGAACGTTCCCCCAATCCATTTCTTCGCAGTCTGGACGTCTTGTATCGTGCCCAAGCTGATTTCGGAGTTGAGATGTTCGACCAGGTTTCGATGAAGCGTGCTTTCTAAAGTCTCGTCCCCAGATATCATGCTTTTATATCGATCAACGTTTGCTGTACGAGTCATAATAATGGCAACAGCGCTATCGTCAAATTGTGGTCGGCCAGCACGACCAAGCATTTGCATAACCTCCAGGTTTGAATATTCTTGAAGCTTGTTGTCGGAGTACGCAACTGTCCCCTTTAGAACCACGGTATGACAAGGAAGGTTCACTCCAACTGCTAAAGTCGATGTGCAACAGATAACATGAATCTGGCCATCGAGGAAGTTCTGTGCTACTGCTAATCTATCCTGTGTGTCGAGACCCGCGTGGTGAAAAGCCACACCATATCGTGCGATCTCCTGGAGCTCTGCGCTTGTCACTGAGACTCGTCTTGTCGGTGCTGGCCAAGCTCGGTCTTCTACGCTGCAGGTTGACCACCATTCAGCTAGCTTCCGAGCGGTTAGCTCGCACGACTTTCGGGTAAAGCAGAATATCATGATTGGCTTCTTCTCTGAATGCTTTCCAAGTAGCATGGCCAGCTTCCCGTCGAGAGACTTTTCGAATGAAAAATCATTCGAGCAACCTTCGTATCCGTACACATATCGCTGTAGTTTGACTGGCCGTAGTTCCTCACCAAATGCCTCAGTCCGGGCTGCGTCATGTTGATTCGAATGGTCTCGTCCGAGCCACTTCGCAATGTCTTCGATGTTTGGGACGGTAGCACTTAAAGCAATAAATCGGATATTTGCCCCAATAGTTTTCATACGAGAAACAACAGCTTCTAATGTGGCGCCGCGAACGTCTTTTAGGATATGTACTTCGTCAATTAGGACTAGACGGACCATCTCCAGTAGTTTCCGATGATCTGACCACTTTCTGGTTATAGAATCCCACTTCTCAGGGGTAGTGACGATAATTGATGCACTGCCTACTCGACTCGCCTTTGTTTGCGAAGTATCGCCGGTAAGTTCGATACATCCTAGATTCATATGACTAAATTTGTTTTGCCAGTCTTTCGCTCGCTCTGAACATAAGGACTTTGTTGGCGCTTGATAGACGATTTTGTAATTCTCACTACCCGGGCTCATTACAAGCTTGCAGATAGCCATTTCCAGAATAGCTGTCTTGCCAGAACCCGTCGGAGCCGAGACGACAACATTATCGTTTGTGCCGTATACGAGTGGGAAACATCTAGATTGGACAACGTTAAAGAGCTCGTAAGGGAAAACAGCCCGGAACTTGTCAGGCAGTGCCTGCCTTGGATCGATTAGGCGAGTGGAATTCACGATAGGCGGCTCATCCGGAGCATGGTTGAGGTTTAAATCTAACCGACTTGCTCTTTTATGGGATATAAGAGGACTATTAGCTCCTTTAGCCTTTTGTTTAAGGCTCAGGCGCATAGAAGGACTAGACCCGCCAATAATTGTAGGGGAGCTGCTGGTGAGCGAGCTTTCGAACGCTGCATTTGAGTTTGGAGCTTTCATCTACGATTAGTATGCTATAAACAACCAAACATGGCTTTTGACTAACCGGTGTAGAAAGGAGGTGTCATCATTTGCACTCCAGGTTGTAATTCTCCTATTCTGCCCGATCCACCGCCACGCTCAAATATTGACTGGGAGCTTGGACTCGGTTTGATTTTCTCTATATGAGCTGCAATACTTGAAAACGGCGACTGGTGGCCTGGATCACGCGTCGCGAATGCCCTAAAATGATGGCTTGCATCTCCTATAACACGTCTTGCTTGATTAGGGGTATTGGTAAGGGGTAGTGATATGCGTTGATCACGATGTTCCGACTGATGAAGATGGGCAGGCCTATGCAATCGACCGAGTAGAGTGCGATCTATGCATTATTAGGAACTTCTAGTATTTCTGAATAGTTATCTTGGCCTGCTAACTTACCAAAATCATCTAAGTCTTGATCTCCTTCAGGTTCTATGTCGCTTTCATTAGTGCTACTAGGAAGCTGAAATCGTGAAAATTGATAGTCGTAGTCCGGGAAAAGAGTAGTGGTATGGTCAATGATGTTCTGGATATGCCTATCATGCGCTGATGTGTACGGGAGGCGATAGTTATGGCTACCTTTGCCCGGCTCTGCTCCGTTAGACATGGCGCTGATCGTAGGAATGGCGCTTCTCGTGGATCCCACAAATGTTCAAAGATACAGAGATAACAAATAAAACTACGAGAATTTCTAGTAATACAAAGACAACGGCCGATGTTGGCCAGGCGTCGACATGCCGGCCGATATTCGCGAGAATAGGAACACACTTAGAGATCCCGGAAAAGATCAATCGTGATGAAGAGATTTGAAGTTGAAGAAGGGAGGAAAGCACCTGCACGGAAGTATATAGAACGCAAGTGCATAGGCGTCCTAAAACTTTGATTATCTAATTCTGCTTCAGGATGGTAGTTACCTCGAGTTAAAATAGGAGGCAGGGTGAGCGGACATGTTATGACATGTAACATCTTGCCTGCTCCTTCCGACTATAAATTAAAGGAGAAACCTCGATGCCACGTGACTCTTCGGATAGGGGTTAGACATCTTCATGGAGCGTCAACATGGTTACAATTGAAAGCAGAAATGGGTCGACAAGAATATTTACCTAGGTATGTAACTAGTACATATGCACAAAGCACACGGTATCATTGCAATTTCCAATTCAATTGGATTTGTGCAATTATCAAGATTGACCAGTATCTTATAATGCATCTAATAGTCAGTCCCCCGTATACGAGAAGGGAGCCTCGTTCCAACTTCGGCTCGGCACTTATCTTAAGCAGTACCTTCTCATACTCCCAAGAGACCGCCACTCCGTATTCCTCTATTGTCTAAGTAGTCCATAATTCATATACGCTCATTCGTCCCGGTTCTTCCCCTGAGAAGATGGCACACGATTGTGGAATCGCAGTGGTGAAGCAGGGCGCGAGGTCGAGAGACCCATCCCCTTCATGCTCTCAAGCGGATTGGGAACGCTTAGCTTGTCGTCCGTGTACCTTGGCGTATTCATCGGGTCGATAGTCGTCTTCTCAAAGTTGACAATGTTGATCGGTGGCGGCCGGCCGCGCTTCCGATCAGGACCTGTGTAGAGGAAGGTCGAGACGAGTACCAAAGCAGTACCAATGAGGAACTAAGAATAGCAATCAGCGAACCGCTTCGCATAAAATAGAGATTACTGGATGATGTAAAACATACCGTTAGTGTAACATGAACTTTGAAGAACCATACACTAAATAGGAAGCCTATGACAATGCTTATACTCGTAGCAAAGTTCTTGGCAATGTTGTCGGCGTAATTGATGCAAAGCGAGGTGAGCACACCGCCGAACGCTTGTAGGATGATCAATGCCCACACAATCCAGTTGTACCCATCGAATAACCCATGCTTCGCAATCTCTTCGCCGTCTTTAAATACGATTCCCAGCAGCGCCGGAAATAGCGAATAGAACGACAGCTGTATGTTGCGAGTCCAGACAGAAGCAGGATTTTCCGTGTCCTTAAGGACCTTCTCGAAGTAGACCCCCGTCAAGCCAGAAATGACCGCTACAGCAAATACAGCCGACAGTCCGATCGAGTAGTTCATTACGGGCGCTGTATTTTGATCTTCCTCGATTCCTTCGTATGTCGCAGAACGTTTCGCAAGAGCCTGGCCAACTTCGGCTATGGTTTCCATGCCACGCTTCGTGAGCTCCCTCGCCACGTCGCCCATTCCATTCGCTACTTGGCCAAGCTCATGTACCGAACGAGGGAAGAAGTGATCCGTCATGTCGTGGATCATGAACGAGCTATCTTTCGAATTCGAGGATGGGATACACACGACCGAAACGCCCGTGGTGAGAATAATGAGAGAAACCCAACGCTTCACGGTCACGGATCGGCCGAGCATCGTCACAGTAAATATCGCAGTCGTAAGAATCCGGAGTTGGTACAGAATCTGAAAATGGACCGGATCAAGGTTCCCTACTGCGACATATTGTAACATGTTCTGCAGTGTGTATAGCGTCGCTGCGATAGCTACCTTCCAGCCGTCACCCGAAAAAACCGAGTTGAATATCTGCTCGAATATGACGGTCGCGGGCGTCGAGGGTGCTAGGTTCCTCGAAACTTCGTATATGGCGAAGGTTAAAGAAATCGCCAACTTCATCACTTCGGTCAAGAACACAGCTGTTGACGTGAAATATCGGTGGTCGCCGCTCGGAGGCATCATTCGGGAGTAATGCATGAGTATGATCAGCACTGAGTTTTGGAAAGTTAACTAAGAGTGGTGACATGTTAGCCATACTGCGCTGTCGCCAGGTGATACCTCTTCCAACCGCCCCAGCACATACCGTAATAAGAGAAAGCTGCTTCATGGGCACGCCGAAGAGAAGAGGCCCTCCCGCGGGTTGCGGGGCACCATCGAGGAGAGCCATGATGGTTAATAAGTTATGACCGCAGTTTAGCCAAATTAGCGAAAACCTCGTTCGCTGGTGTTTTCTCTTCCCTTTCTTTCTAAGCCCCTCCTAACCGGTCGAAGTTTTTGTTTAAATAATGACTGAATTAGCTGATTGATGTCTCAAAAAGCTCTATGCGAAAATCTTTTCCTGTTATAAAATTGCCGCAATAATAGTGGAAATTCGTAATCGCGTGTCGGTTGTCGTCAATAAAAGAAAAATGAAACTTGGATTGAAGACAGTATTCAATGCGTCGCGTCTCGTTAAATAAATTGAAAAAGATGCAGAGTCATTGAAGGTATTGCCGATTTGGGCGGAGGCGCTTCAACCACCCACATCCAGGTCACTCCCAAAATGGGACCAGACCTATTAAGCTCTTCTCAACCCCTGAATGTGACACCACTTAGTGTAGCAAGCAAAGATTCTGTGACACTCGGTGTCAACGGGGGTCAAGTCAACTTAGACAACTTGACATATAGCAGTCAACTTTAGAAGCTGTATTTAGATTAGGTTGGAAAAGTGAGTATGAAAAGGCAGAAGGGGAACAAAAGGGTTTGCAAAAGTTCTTGTTCAGCAAAAGGCCGTAGAACTGCGTATGTGCTGTCATGGCTACGGGTACCTGTGCTACTTATTTAGGGCCTGACCATACATAAGTTGGCATAGGTTGATGATATCAAAGGCGCTCGAGTTTTCCCCCAATACGTAAGGATCATCAAGGCTCGAGCTATGTTGTGCCTGGACACTACAGGGTACCACCACGATTCTGCAAATAATAGGTACTAAAATAGGTCGCAATAATTGTGGAATACCGCCAGATCCTGTTCTAGCCTTGATGCATCGTGTTACGTACCTGGATACCGAACCAACCACATGTGGACGGTTCAAGCTGTAGCAAACGATAATACCGAGTTTTCCCACGGAGGAATAGTTAGTATCCGTTTGAGTTCCCCGAACTCCGCCGTACACTAGGTAGTCTTCATATCCGGGGCTATTTAATTAAAGTCAGTATTGTTCCGATGACACGTATATTACCTCTTATGTATAGTTCAGTCCGTTTAGCTTGTTATTAGTTGGTTGCGCCTTGGCCTCTTTCGGCTTCCGTGATCGTTACGGAGCGATCTGATTTTCGTGGGGGGGGTATCCAAAAAGAGCTCCAGGTTCTTGATCTCCTCCGGTCACTTCGAACGACGCATGTTTCAAATCGATTTACACACCGCTAGCATGAAGGCGTTTAACCTTTTTCCTTCTTCTTCTTAAACGTATTGGTGTTAGTGCGGTTGCTTTACAAGGACTTTACATTATATCCAAGGCTTTAGATATTGCGCGGGTGGGTATTATCTGAGCTCATTATCTACCTACTATTTCTACACCATTAGTATCAAGTCATGGCCCCATGATATCAACGCATGAATTTGCAATCATCTATGCCAGTCTAGAGTATCTAGCGGATAACTTTCACTTCCTCTCTAAAAAAAAAAAAGCTTGACTGTAAAGTATCGTCATGACTTGCAAAGCTCCCGTGAGCAAGAAGACGGCGCTAAAAGGAAGGATGCGGGGTGAACGGGAAAGAAACTGATGTATTTCTTGTTCTACCTGCATCACTAAAATCCATATATGCGAAAGGATTAGTAGCCTAGGTACCTACCTATCCTAACAGTCCCAACTGCAAGTCATATTATTATTCCCACCCCCTTAGAGAAAAAGAACCGAATAGCTTCGATTTGCGGGTATTTTATTAGGTCAGATCGTGGTTCGCGGGGCTTGGATCTTTTACGGATCCACAGCTCAAGTGAATGCCAATCGATGTCTTCAACGTGGTCGATGCACTGTTAGATCATCGCGATGTTGTAGAATGATTTACCTGCTATTTCAGATAGGAGAGCTTGAGCAAGAGAAAAATCAACACGTGCATAATAGAAAAGAGGAAGTACCAAAAAAAAAAAAAAGAAGAAGAAAAAATCCTCCCCTAAAAAAAACTCCAAAAGACAAAGAAGAGTAAATAAAAATTTACAAAAATGAATTGCCAGCTGCAGGGTTCGAACCTGCGCATCTCTCGATAATGGTGTTCAAGATCTTTTAAATCAGACTTAAAACCACCGCCTTAGACCACTGCAAGGTATTAGCGTGTGAACAGGTTGCGATGAAATCTTTGTAAAAACATACCTCGGCCAAACTGGCTATTGGACATTCCTTGAAGTTTTCAAACGGTTTAATGCCGCTTATGACCCCCTCCATAACAATCACTCCGCCAGCCAATGAATTTTGGAGGATCAAATTTACATCCACACATACACAAACACATATACAAACACAAATACAAACACACACATACATGTACAGCAAGTCCACAGTTGTATTTTCTATAGTTACCTATGTATTTTCATTTCTTTCTATTACTCCGTCTTGTGTGTCCTCAAGAGCGAGAAATGGCTAACAAGAGGAATATGATACCCTTTCGTGAACATCGCGATGAATTCGAATCCGAATCGTAAGGGCTCCTCCAATGTTTCATGCACCATAACACACACACCACCACCACACCCATACCATAAATAAACCCAACAAACACGCATCGCCTAGTTGCACATAAAATCGTACGCAGTCCTTCCGTCACCCCACTCGATCCCTGATATTACATATAGCTCTCCCCGTGGTAGTACACCGATGCAAGAAAGCA